GTGTGTGTGTGTGTGTCCAGGCTCAGGAGGTCCACGAGAAGCTGAGGGCGTGGCTCAGAGCGAACGTGTCAGATGACGTGGCCGACTCTGTGCGCATCATCTACGGAGGTCAGTGATGATTTCTGCTCATAGAGTCTGTTCAGTTTCACCTTTTAAAGACTTCCTGTTTCCTGCCAATTAAAATCACTTTTAGTCTGATACGTATATGTAATATAAATGTTTTTGGTCCAAAGTCTGGCTTCATTTCCCCACCTGATGCCCTGTTTGTTCTCTCTCCGTCCTTCAGGTTCAGTGACGGGAGCTAACTGCAAAGAGCTGGCGTCTCAGGGTGACGTAGACGGCTTCCTGGTGGGCGGAGCCTCTCTCAAACCAGAATTCATCGACATCATCAACGCTCGTGCGTAACAGACACGGGAAACGGCTCCATCGGGACCAATGAAAGACACCCTTTAGATCATCACCATGTGTCTGCAAACTGGGCCGACTGATCCGCAGTGTGTGGAAGTAGAGAACGTTTTATTTTGAAAATTGGATGAGGTAAATACAGGGCGGTAGGATTCAGTAAATATCAACCCTTTTTTGTTGTGTTTTGGTGTTATTTGTGGGAATTTAGCTCTTTTATTTGTCATATTACAGTTAACAGTCAAACTACTGTATTTTTCTGTTCTTATTCCCAATTTCTAACGTTGTTGTGTTACATAATCAAATGTACTTCACCTTGATTGTCTGTGTTGCAAGGATTCAAGTTCAGCTTCAGGGAGAAACGGGGAGTGTGCACAGTCTCGTTTTCAGATGACTTTTTTCCTGTTTTACTTTCATTATTCAAGAGGTGAAACAAGACAGTTTAGAGGAGAGAGAGGAAATATAAAATTAATATCTGATGCAAACAATTCAGTGTTTCTTTGATCTCCTCATAAAACTGCTGATGTTCAGATACGTGAAGGATCAGTCAGCTCAGGTTGTTTGTGTGTTTGCTAACAGACTGATAACAGTGTTGTAATGTTGTATTATTGATGCACTCTCACTTAACTGCACTAAATGTTACTTCAGGGTCCTTGACAATAAAAGCTATGGACAGAATGTACTTAAATATATAACATAAATATATATACATATGTATATGTATCAGCTGGTACTCAGCTATGAGCAGTCGGGGACTTTTATTGTGAAGTTGTCACTAATAGGCACTAAAGCTTTATGTAGTTAACACTGCACTATGTGTGCTTAACACATGACATTGTGTGTTCATCGCATGAATAAGGAGGATGTGACCAATGTTAGGAACTGAGTGAATAAATAAATAAAATGAGCAAATAAGTTTGTTTTTGTGTTTATTGGCTGTCTGTATCAGTGGTTCCCAACAGTTTTAACCCCTCAGTCAGATCAGACTGCATGACATTAGCACGGCATTGGCACAACCCCGTAGCTGTGGTTATAGATGTAAGAGTTAAAGTCCCCATGAAATCAAAATGATGATGTTTTTATCACGTATGTCCTGTGCTATACGTCACCACTACACAGGTATCTGGCCCAATAATGGCAAAAATGTTGTGGAAAACAATATAAAATGGTGATGACTCATCCTGCACTCAGGGGCGTATACTGATTTATCCAATAAAATGGCTTTGTAGACTTTTTATGTCTCTCCCTGAGGACTATAAATCCTGTCAACAGCCCTACAAGATAGCTAGCATTATGGGTCGTTGATGTGTTTTCGTTTCCTCTTTCCTATTAATATTAAAAGATATTTTTACTTAAAGGAGCCGTGTGAGCAAAAAGACTGATCGGTTGAAATTCGCCCCAGATAGACAGTGATAGACAGATGGTTCATCCCAAGTATTTTTTGACAGTGCCTGCCCTTTTCCAAACAGTTTCTGACAACAACAACTCCCCCGATGGTTCTGTGTTACAAACCATCTGGCAGGCAGGTTACACTTTCCCTGGTCCATTACTGATGTTTTCACGGCATGCTCAGCCGATATTTGTGAGATTCTGAGGCTCTTTAACACATTTAGTCTCCGACTGAAACTTACCGTGTTACATGTTGTGATCATCAGTAATCTCTCTCAGCAGTTGCAGTTAAAATATTCTCACAGTTTATTACACAAAACACAAAAAATGGTCACAAGCATTTTTTTGAAAAGCTGCCGCGGTTAATTAAAACTCAACTGAACAAGAAACACAGACACAAAAAGAGACAAAAACCCTTTAACTGTGTTTGAAATTGTAAATTAACATCTTTTTATTTCACATATTTTGACATTATTTTCAATGACAAGCGTTCTGTTCTTTTTTTTAAATCCTCTTTCATCTTTTTCAACACAGCTATTCTATGGACATTCAAGAGGAACAGAAGGAACAAAGGGATTCTGGGTTTTTGTGATTTTTTTTCTTTTTTTGTTAGGACTTCAAGCATAAAGGACAAATAATCAGAATCACATCAGGGCGGGAAGAAAAAGAGGTTCTGAAACGGAGAAACAGACACGACGAGAAGAAAAAGGAGACAAAAAGGGTGCGGGGGGAAGTGGGTGGAGTGCAGGTACTTCAGTGTCCAGGTGAGAGTGTGACACAACTGAGTGTGTAAGTGTTTGTGTAGTTTTGTTTTTTCACTCAGTCCCTGAAACTGCTGTATTTCGTTTCTTTCAGCGAGTGCATCGTCCTTTTTTGGTGCGGAAAGTTTGACTTTTTTTATCTCTTTCAGTTACGTGCTTCAGTCTACATTATTCTATTATATCTCTACTTTTTTATCTCTCTGTTTTTACAATAATAATCTTTATTTTTGCAGGTCTGTCCTCTGGCTGTACATGAACTATTCCTTTAAAACTACAGTAACAGTGCATGTCTGGCTTATAGATTTGATATTTTTATAGTATTCCCCTGCATGTGCGTGAGCGTGTATTGCATCTGCGTACTCTATGTGTGTGTGTGTGCGTAAGTGTGTGTGTGCATACAGTATCATCTCCCTACCTATAAGTGCATAATTTATTTATTTATTTAATAATTCATGTTTTTTGCTTGGCTCTTTTGCTCGTGTGTTTTTTCATGAATCTGTGTGATCCTTCACTGCACATGGCTCGCTCCATGTTGGTCGTGTCTGTCAGTTTATATGTGTGTGTGTGTGTGTGTGTGTGTGTGTGTGTGAGTCATTCGTCTGTCAGTTTCACAGGGCGCTGGGGTTCCTGAAGTTATGGCCTGCAAAACGAGCCTGGTCACCCAACTCCTCCTCAATCCTGCAGAGAAGAAGAGAAGAGATGAAGAGTAGATGTTATATATGTATATATGATGATATATGATGTATATATGAAAACATTTCTGTCCTTCATCCAAATGTTTGTCTGTAAGAGAGAAGAGTTAATCTTTCTCAGCACTGTGGAGTCCGCTTCAAAGGTAAAACCAAACTGTCTCCTGACTGTTAAATGAGCTGCTAAACGTAAATTTTTTGGACTTAAAAGTACAATATGTAATTTCTGATGCTGAAGATTCCTTCAGTGTTCAAGAGGTTTCTATCGGGAGCCGTATTATCCACAGAGATCTCCTCCTCTCCAAATCAAATGGAACCCCCTGGAACTTCCTTAAGAACCCCTAGAAGAACCACTGCTCTGGAGAGTACTTGGGGCAGCAGGAAGGTGTATGGCATGGAAGTTTCTGAATGCCTGAATGAAAACAACGCAGAAATAAATAAATAAACACTGTTAACTGTACTTTTTTAGTATGAATTTACTGTACATTTAACAGAAAACATACATGAAATAAAAATGATTTAGCCTTTTGTTTGCTGGTCTAATAAAAAGACACCACTGAGTTGCATTGTTTATGGAGCTTGTTGTTTAGGAACATAAAGTACTTATGACTTGTCACTTGCCAGTCCTTAAGAAGCTACAACACTAGATCTCTGGAATAGTCCTTTTAAAACAACATAGCTGCCACTGCATGACAACTTGCTTCAGTATAAATAACTCATTTCTCTCCGGTGTGCCTGTGCACATGTGTGCGTGCATGCTTGACTGCACTGATTAGCGTTTATCACTGGTTAATGCCCCTGTAAGTCTCTCCACCCTCCACCTCTCCTGCTTCTCCTCAGCAGTCCGATGGGATTACAACGCTGAGCTGATCCCACCTCCTCCCCCCATCCTCCTCCTCCTCCCCCAGCTCCTGCTGCTGACTGGCTCGGACACATGGGGTGACACTGGCGCTGCTGTCGCCTGTCACGTCAATTAGCCCTGTGATGCTAAGCACTAAGACAGAGCAGCGTTACAGCAGAGCTGCTGCCAGATTTGAAGCCAAAAGAAGATACAGAAGATGTTAAATACAGAGAATTGAATATTAAATTCAGCCCATAAAAGAAAGTAGCAACAGTAAGTTTCCAGTAGTCATTGTGTGTAGAAAAGAGTTTTGTTTTACAGGTTTAATAAGTCTAGATCCTGTAAAGACAAAGTTTTCAGCCCTTACTTCAAGTTTATATAAAGTCTTGTTCTGGGGTTTAATCACCCAGCAGCTGATAAAGTTAATGTAATAAAAATGTAAAGAAAAGAGAAACGTGAGGAGCAATTGGCTACGGAACTCACCAAAACAGTGAAACAAGTCATTAACAGGAATTAAAGAGAGAAAAACAATTCAGTGCCTGTCGGTTTTCTTACAGAATGCCTGTATTCAAATAATGAGAAATCTAATTTGCCCAATTTTACCCAAAAATATCCAGTCTTTCATTTTCCTCCAAGAGGTGAACTTATTCAAGGTCTCACTGATGGAATCGTTCATGATGCAGAACCTGCAAGAGATTATCTGCTCACCATAAAACACACTGCTTTCACGTCTGACTTTATCATTACTACTATTTTTCTATTATATATTCCAACTGACTTGTTTCATTTATTCTTTGGATCACCAGACTTTGAGTGTGATTATGACCCTTCTGTCTACATGTGCTGGTCCTGGGTTTGTTGTCAAGGCAACTGGTTGCAACCGAGAGAAGCGAGCGCCCATGGGGTGTGTGTCGGAGCAGATTTCAAAAGATGAAATGTATTCGTGCGGTCTGGGAAAAAAACAGGCGGCGTCCCTCTCTCTCTGCTCTTGATTTATTTTGCCCTCTAGAATTTAAACAATCGATACATCATAAAGCAGCTGGACATGGAGGATGACAGAGTTCAATCATATTGAACTGCGATCAATTCATGACCAGAGACAGAAAGGGGAGACAGAGGTCCATCTTCTTAGATAAGTGCAACAAACTCAACTTCCAGACTCATTCAAACTACAATATACAACTGTTGTAAGGGAGATATTTTTTATTCTCCTTTATGCTGTAAAACACAGAATTTTCTCTTTTTATTTAACCAAATACCTGCCAGTAGGTTAGTTGTTACAAACTCATTATGTGACAATAAGCACAAAAATGTATTTTAAATTTTAGTGGAGATCCCTGGTTGGAACCAGGGGCGTTTCCAGACTTTTTTAACTGGGGTGTATGTGTCTCCGCTTTCCAGTCATTCCCAATTTATGCAATTCCAATAGTGTTTAGGGACACCAGTAAGCAGAAATATTAAACTACACCAAGAGAAAATAATACATTTATGCAAAAAACTGCATGTCTTTGCCCAAAAACTGCATAGGTTGCACATGTTTTTTGGGTACCCATAGAACCCATTTTCATTTAAATATCTTGAGGTCAGAGACAGATTTCAGTCAGTAACTTGATTACTTTCATTTACTTTTGGTTTTTGGATCAACACCAAACACCTCTGTAGGCAAATAAAGACCAGAGTAAAGAAATATCAATAAGAAGTACTTAAAAAATGTGGGTATTTTTTAAACAACTGAAATTTGAATCCAGCTAAGAATTTCCATTTTTACTAAATGCCCACATTGCTAACAGATTAGAATACCTCTTTTGTATCCGAAACAAACTCAGTTAGCAGCTAATCCGTTACTCCCCTTTGCCTGCTGATAGAGAGACTGAGAGATTATGCCTGCGGCACACTGACCTCATGAGTTGGTTGTACTTGGCCAGCCTCTCAGATCTGCAGGGGGCGCCAGTCTTAATCTGCAACAGAGAGACCAAGAAAATTACAACCCACCAGAGAGTATGCCTCATAAAATATTTAAAGACAATAATGACCCGGGGAATGTTAAATTATGAAAATGTCACTAAGTGGTTGATGGCATTTTCTTTTATGCTGGTCTAAAGCACAAATGATACTTTTTGCTACATTATGTATGTAGTGGTTACAGGTAGGGTTTGAGTAAACATGCAGGTAATGAACGGAGGTCATGTCCTCCGCCTGTGTGTGTGTGTGTGTACCTGTCCA